TGTCGATGTTTAAACCGGTACTCCGTACATTTTATGGATATTGTTCTTAAAAGATCCTGTATCGGCAGTAGTAGTACAAGCAATTTTTGCGAAGGTTATACAACACAATGATCTACAGAGTTTCTGCAATGGCGGTAAACGAAAAGACCGATTACCTAACGCTGGTAAGAAAATATAAGTCCATTTTTAAAGAATAAAAAAAGGACCAACATTCCTCCTATGATATTATTCTCAGTTACGAAATAATCCTAAACGAAAAACCGGCTGCAATCCAGAAAAAGTCACATCACCTCTTCACTCCCCCTAATGAAATATATATTAAGAAACGTTAGAAGATTACTGTGTACTGATTCTCATGACAAATTAAAAGCATTCAAAATTTTTAAGATGCGGCCGCCGACTATGTTTACTTACCTTGGGAATCGCACTGTAACATCGTTATTGAAAATTCCACGAGGAATGCAAACATCCATTTCTGGGAAAAACCCATTCCAATTTGAACGAGGGCTATCAGTCGGTATCAAATCGATAGTTTGGGTAAAGCGTCGTTTGGTTGTGTAAATATTTCAAAGACATAGCACAAATAACTGCACTCTTGGAATAATAAGACCACGCATTTATTTTCGCATCATACAGCTTAATTATGAAACATGTTTATTCTCGAGTAAGCTTATGAAACACTGAAATCAGGAAGTAAATAAAGGGCAGCATATGCAAATAATGAAATCAAGAAATAAACAGTGAAGCTAAAAAACCTGAATTGCTTGATCGTCCAACGTTGCTGTATACTGGAAAGTGAATAACTTACCTTTTTCAATTTTCTGTTGACCACCGCATAAACATGGCGCAAGATTTGTATCTGTCTCGATTTCAATCTAACCGAGGCAGCTCAAGGATCCATCGAAAAAGCAGCAAGATCCATTTCTTTCGATTTCACTCCTCGGTAGTAAGTCACTTAACAGAGTTCGTTTCCCTACAAGAAAGTGAACTCAACTTATCGTGTGGCAGTCTTGAAGCCACTAGATTCGCACCAAGCTGCGTTGATGATAATGGTCAAATTTCAACATTCACCGTGCTTGATTGATTGCTGTCTATATAAGACAATAAACCCGAGTGCGACTTAATGTGAGGCTAAAGGCATAATTCGTGTAACATAAAGAAATGCACCCCGTCCGGTCCACTTACGATTATTAAAGATCCCCACCTGTGCCATGCTTTCTACTCTTCTGGGTTGAAGTTAAACTTGTCCGCAACTTGATCACGCCAGAATTTGTTTTTTTTTTTATTTCGATATTTTAGCTGTATGCACCAGTGACGCATGACTGTAGTTAATTATGTCTAACGAGTGTGGATTTTGGTATGGTTTGCTCAAACAGGTCCACCGCTCCACATTGCTCGACATCGAAAAAATTACTTTTACTTGAGTTGCTATTCTTTTCTATTCTTTTCAAACCCATAGAAAAATTGCAAAAATATTCCATTGATGTCCTATGCTAATATTCTGCGCTATGGCTACATGCCCGCAGTAGTAGATATAATGAGGGTTCCAGGACAAAGCAAACGCTTTCGTAAATCATGTTCTTATCCTAACATTTTCTGTGACCGACGGCTTAAAAGAAAAGGCTATAAACTTATTTTTTCCGTTAACCGTTCACATAACCATTAAAGAATGATTTATTTCAGTGAAAATCATCCAATTCAGAATGATTGCACGTATTGGAGAGGTTAAAACTTCTTTGATTATTCACGAAAAATTAATCGACAAGTTATAAATACATGCGTCAAGTGCTTTGAAAAGACATCTCCAAACTAGCTCCTATTCTCAATCTGCCATGATATCGCATCCCTCGACGAGTTTGTGACAGATTTAACACATGTAGAATTGAAGACGAGACACGAAGGTGTATCAGATCACTCACGGTTTCTTGGAAAGCAGGGATCGCTGACTCGGTAAGAATTAAATCGTCACAACTAAATTGGTATTCAACGTACTCGACGTATCCGACATACGACGACGACTCCAGTCGATTCAACTCTAGTGTTATCAATTAACAAAGCAAGACTCGTTATTGAAACGAAACTCATTCGATGAAATTGACTCATTTTAAAATGGAGTCTGAAAAAAGGAGTAGCCGGGTAGTTGAACACCCACCAGGTGGGCACAAATGCATAAATTTGTCTACGAGAATCCATCATTGGGTTTGCAGTCAAGAGTTTCAGAGACGCCGCCGGGTAACACATGATATGTATGTTTGCTTGGCCACTGATGACTTAACAGTCAAGGCTTCTCTGTGTGAGCCTGCAGTTAGCATTTTGATCGAGTGTCAGTAAGCTTACAGCGAGATACAAATACAAAGCACGTGGGAAGTTTGGATAGGATGAACAAGTCGTAACGCTTGCTTGAGGCATAACCTCGAGCGACTTTAGCTTCTAAAAAACCGCCTTCCAATTTTGTGCTTCCTTTGCGTATCTAGGAAAAGATGAATAAAGTAATTCTTTTACTACATTAAAAGAGGAGAGTCTTTGCAGTTCAATAGGCTCGTTTATGTTTTTGGAGGAAAAAAATCTCGTTATCTTTTAACGATCTCATCTCAGATTGGTAAAAAAGAACTGATTTGTTAATTCATGCATGTAATTTTCTTCACTCCCAAGATCTCATGCAATTCCCATGATATTAGTTTGGAGAATTTAAAGTTGGATAAATTAATAAGCCCCTAATTGATATTTTCCTTTATTTTCATCAACTGTTTGCTCGATATTGTATTGATAATGTAAAGAGAAACTCTGTGCACACGCAATTAACCCGAACTTGTTTGTTGTTTGTATATAAGCGCCAGGCGCTACCTCGGTGTGGGGGACTGGAACAAGTGGAATAAAGAGTTTTGTGAGCACATGGAAAATGGCTGAAGTGTGTTGATGTTTAAACCGGTACTCTAATAGAATTTTTCGCGCCTAGGAATCTCCACTCTGTATTTGTCACTCGTGAGAGTTAAAGGGTTAAACCTTTTTAAAAGGCCGTTTACACGGCAGAAAAATCGGGTACGGACGTGTCAAAAAAAGTAGTACGAACGGCATAATTTTAGCCGTTTACACGGATGAGGTTTTATCATGGGTCGGACAAAAAGAGGCATAAGGACCAAGTTAGCAAGGTTGCGTTTACACTGCAGTTTTTGGGGGACCGGACCAATTTCTTGCATGGGACTATAGTATTTGGTACAGCTGTGTACTGTTATCGAACATGCGTAATTCTTGTAAACAAAATGGCGACGCGTGATGCTGAGTTATCCGTTCTCGTGCGGTACGGACCCGTGTTTTTTCTGGTTTTGGGGCCATAGACGTCTATGGCCCCCAAACCAGAAATGAACGGGTCTGTACCCCTCCCCCAAAACATGGTACGGATAGTTTATGTGGGAAAAAATGTGAGGTCCGTACTCTTTTTTCACACGTTCGTACCTGATTTTTCTGCCGTGTAAACGGCCTTGAAGTTTATCGATCCCGAAGAGTGTATTTTACAGAATTATCACAGATGCTACTCAACAAACTTCTGCTTTCACCAAAAGCATCCATTATTTGAAATTGTTGTATCTTCCATTTGGTATGATTTTGGTTCAGCTGTGAAAATGCAATTAGAAATGTGGGTTATTGACATATAGTACTTTGGGAGATATGCTCTGACCTTAGCCATACATACATCTGACTTTAACTTGACCTGCTCTTAGACAGTCACTTCTGCAGTGATTCAATATGAATCAACCTCAGATCGTCCAGTAATTACGTTTGAGTCTTCTTCCTTTTTTCCAAATTACAAATTGTAAGTCACTTCGTTGACGAGGAGTCCTTTACTGTTGTACCACGGCGATACGGCGCGCAACAACGTGCGCGTCCAAGTATTCACGACAGTCATTCAATATCAACACACATTTTTTCATTGCTTTTTCTGCATTTTAGATTTTATTTCCCTTATTTATTTTTAATTGCCATTGAACAGCAGAGTTAAATCCCTGACGCTGTGCCTTAATTTAAAACTGTTGGTAAAATACAGCCGGGAACTCATGTTGTCAACTTATGGGGAAGGTTTCCTTTCTCTCAGCCAGCTTATAGATCACGTAAAAGTAACTTCCTTAATCTTCATGAGGGTTATATTTTCCTTTAACCAGCATTATCCTAAATTGTCAACTCCTTTACCGACTGAATAGTTTTAATTTCGCCATCACTTTTAGACGTTTAAATTGCTCTCACATTTATACATGACTCGACTTCAGATGAAATATTATTAAATATTATTAAATATTATTAAAGTACCGCTCTGATGCCGGTTAGCTCAATTGGTTAGACCGCTGGACTGTTGTGCGGGAGGTCGAGGTCGATGGTTCGAGTCCCGGCCGGACCAACACTCAAGGTCTTAAAATAACTGAGGAGAATGTGCTACCTTTCTATAATATCAAGAAATGGATAGACATTCTAGTCTTCTGGGATANTAATGCAGTAAATGGTTTGAACCCGGGGGTAACATGTGAAGGTGTAGTCTGATCGTCCGGGTGAGTGTAGTCCTGAGAAGGACTGTTGTCGGTGGTAGTGACTGACGTTTCGACAACCTGTGCGGAAGTCATCATCAGAGTCAAGTGAATGATTGTTGTCAGTAGAATGTTCTTATTCCAGTTCGTGTGAAATGATCGGTTGGTTTTGCCGTGATGTTATTGGCTGTAAGACTCAAGTGACGTAAGTCGGTCGTGATTGGTCTGTTTCGATCTGTCGGTAAAGTCAGGTCGTTCTTTTTCGTTCGTTTGTGATGTTTATGTCGTGAATGAGTCGTTTGTATGGGGCGGGTAGTTGTTGACATCTGTTTAGGGGAGTCTGTTCTAAGTTAGTAAACCAGCTTTCCAGAGTCAGTCGTTGATAATAGTCAGTGCTGTAGGTTAGGCATTGAGCAGAGTCCCAGTCAATGCTGTGGTTGGTAAGTCGATCGTGTTCAGCAATGTGATTGCTGACATCAACATCATCAACATCAACATCAACATCATGTTCAGCAATGTGATTGCTTTCAAAAGCCTGCACTCCGTTTGATTTTCTTCTCCAGCAAAATATCTCATGCTATCCCTCCTTTTATAACGTCGAGTATCTTACCCATTAATATGCTCTATTTTGAAACCGTTTCTGCCATAATGCATGTTGTTTCTACTAGCCCTGCACCTAGGAATATTTTCAACCATAGGCTACCATAGAGACGTTCGACCATGCATATAATACGCGTTTCTCTTCCACAGAGAATTTTTATGTACAGAAATCTAGATTGCATGTGAAATTTAAGTCTTTCTCTGCGTTTGGTAAGAGGTTATGGAACTGTCTAAATCCTGACTTGCGTAAGCTCACGAAAAGAGCATTTAAATGGAAACTTTATAAGTTGCTTTTGACTATACTTGGGATTGACGATATTATGTTGACGCCCATTCGGTAATATTGAAATTCAATACCAATGATTATCGAATATTATAACTGTAGTACTTCGCTCACATCTGTATGTCACAATTCTCTCCTCTCCACTTTCCAGTCTGCTGTGCCTGTATTTGATTATTAGGTCTTGTTTTAACTCACTAGTAATTTTATTGTACTTATATTTAATTTATATGACAACTTTACGTATCTTATAGTGTAGTAAACTAATGCATAGCTTATGTTATAACTGTAGAAATATTGTAGAAGTAATGAGATCTCTTTAGCTTACAATGTGTAGTATTTGTAAGGCGCAGAGGTTGAAGCTTTGTAACAGCTTTTATTCGGCAATCAAAACTACGGCCAGCAGCACATGCTTAGAAGACAAAAAACCCGATGTCTCGTACGTACAAAGTTCATATACCTTAACGGTGTCCGATGTCAGCACGTGGCTGCATGGCGTGACATTACCTTACGTAACGCGATTCGATAATCATGTCTTACAAACAAAACTGTACGCACAAATTGTCACAGTATTTACTTATTTATTACTAATACCCGCCAAGACTAGCTGATGCTATATGCAGTTTGTGTAAATTGGCTTTTAATGTTCCAAGAAATAATAATAAAACAGTAAAAACAGTAACATTTGCTAACTCTGCTCTTTGCTTTCCTTTTTGCAGTTTCGATTTTAAAAGCATTTCCATATTTCTGCTCTGAGCCTAGACTTGCTCCAAGTGACTCGTTTTATATACCGTGATTCAATTTCGGCGAAGCCGAAATCTACGATGACCTCTCGCGAAGCGAGAGGTCTGAGGCGAGCGGCGAAGCCTCAGAATACAGTTAGGAAAAAAAACGGACTTTGGAAAGTCTAGTCTGAGCTGTGTTGTAACATCATGTTTTACGTATAACTCAAAATCTTTTGCAAATCTGTGAATTCTGAGATCACTTCAAGCCGGTCGTTTCATTTTTTAATGTAAACTTCTTTCTCGGCAGAGAATCAATCAGATGTGTTCCTTGAATAGTGAGATTACTTCATTTGTCGAACATTCATTCATGTACATAACTACGATGAATTCATACTGATTATACTGTTGTAAATACTTTGGTTTTTTGTCATAAGTAACATTTGTTCATTTTTTCTCTTTTTCTTTTTTTGAGTGCTCGGAATCATTCAATGATTATATAAATATTTCTTTTGTATCTTGATATGTTAAGTTCACGTTAACGACGAAAAGGCAAATTTGACGAAATTTCTTTTTCTTACGACATTTTTATCTTTCTTTTCGTTTACGCTTTAATTTCTAAGGTGAAGTTAGATAGATCTAAGCCTGACGTCATATTTTGAGCGTTTCAATCTAAAGGCTTCGTTTTCGTCCAATCAGATGAACGGATAGAGAATCATTTGTAATGGGGTGACGTAAGCATCACAAAGTCATTGCTCGTAACAATACTTAGCCTTTGGCGCTGCTGTCCTTTTATTTTCTTTCTTTTCTTTTACTCCTTTTACTTATAACCTTTTCATTTTGTTTTTTAGATAGGTACACTTTTTAGGTATTTTTTCAATTTTAGTTATTAGGTATTTTAAATTTTAGCCAGGGTATTTCAGATATTTTGTAATTCGATTTTAGTTTGCCATCTTTTTTTTCTTTTCCTCTTTTCTGTTGGTTTTTTTTTCCTATTCGTTCATTTTCTTTCCGTCGTTCTTTTAATTTTACTTTTTGTTCTTTCGCATCATTTTCCCACCACCTGTATTAACAGTGATTTAAACGCTGTGGTTTACGTCGAGTGGTCCTCTGGGCGCATGCCCAAGATACGCAAGAGTAACTGGCATTAGACGAGAGAAATTTTTTTTGTCGTGTGGGTACAGCTCTGATTTTTACTACTCAAACCGCCTTCTTAACAAATGTTTTTGGACGATCTTCACTGGAAACGCCTCCCCCGCCAATAAAAATCTTATGCTAATTCATTTTAATTCTTTCATTATTTCTAGCGACAAGGTATAAATGCTTCGCATAGATAGCCCCAAACTAGCTCCTAATCTCAGTCTGCCATGATACCACATCCCTCGACGAGTTTGTGACAATTTTAAAACAGTTGTATTTTAAGACGAGACATGCTGAATGACTCACGGTTTCTTGCCGATGATCGTTTCGATTGAACTGGTACTCGACGTAGCAGACATACGACAGCGACTTCAGTCGATTCAATCCGAGTGTTACTAGTAAAGTAAGACCCCTTCTTTGGAAGACTAGACTCATCTAAAATCGGCAGTTTAGTTGACTACCCACCACGTAGGCACAAATTCATAACTTTGTATCGGATTTGCAGTCGCGAGTTTCAAAAACGCTGCCAAGTAACACCTAATATGTATGTTTGCTCGGCTACTGATGATTTGACTGTTAAGACTTCTCTGTTTGGACATGCAAGTACATTTCTTTCGAGTATCAGCAAGCTTCCAGCGAGAGTACAAGTACAAAGCACATGGCTGGAAGTTTGGACAGGACGAACAATTCGTAAGACTTACTCGAGGCATATAGCCTCGAACGACACTAGCCTTTTTTTCCACTTCCTGCACATAACTATGTGCGTGCACCTGGCGAATAAAGCAATTATCTCAATACAGTCTCAATGCGATACTTGGAAGAGGAAAGTTTCTTTTTTTGCATTTGAATAGGCAAGTATATTACGTTAATGAGTTTATTACTTGCTTGTCACCCACATTTTTTTCGCGCTGCGAGCAGGTTGCTTATGTTCACTTATACTTCTTGTTGCACTGGCTGCTTGTGATATTTCCCGCTGATCTGATTGACACTTAGTTTTTGTCTATCAACACTCGAAAAGCTCGCTATTCATGTGATGAAGCAATCAGACGTTAACACCAAATACAAAGTGAAGATTGTGGTGTGGAGGGTCGAGGGACAATTTACGAAACTTGCAATTGTGGACCAACTACCTTTGATGATAAAAGAAATTTTCCGTAGTGGCTTCGGTTTTCCTGCCTCCCAAAGGACAATTAAAATAAACAATACGTTCAAGAAGAGTCACCTCATGGATGCCTACAGGCAAATCTGTTTTATTTTACTCTTTCTTCTTTTATGACTCAATTACAATTTCCTTGCATGCATTTACTGGTGTGTAAAGAGCTAACCCCATGGAAGGCTACATTGGTTTTGATCAAGAGTTATTTTATCATTAATTACTTTGTAAGCTATCTATCAAACTGAAAAGTCCACTGATTAATTTTTTGCGCCTGTGTTTCTCCCCATCGTGTGTTCTTTATTTTTGTCGTGTCCAGTAACGTTTGTCGGAAAGTAACTTTCATTCTCCATCAATGAAGCGCTCAACAACAGACTGATTATCTCGTAACTTCTTGAAGATTATTAGTCCAGTTCCCATTGCCGCCATGAAACCAATGAACAAAATAACCAAGCCCGCCACGAACGTAGTACTAAGACCTGATGAGAGAGAGATTCGGGAATTATTAGATGTGCCGGGCTGATACTGTTTCACAAAATGACCATTGTGCCGTTTTAATAATAATCTAGCCGGTCAAGTGATAATAACAGCAAAAAAAAAAAAATAATGATAATAACAAAAACTTTTCGAACGTAAGGCGACCAGGTTGATTTTTCTGTCATGTTTAGACTTAGCACTTAGCAAGCTCAGATAAACAGTTTGACAGGTTTGTGCTTTAGGCCCTATGTTGATTTATCAATTCTGATAACAAGTAAGGTGTAAATTCGGAAATGTAAGATACGATATGATATATATACTACCACGACCTACCCAGAGTAGTTACCCTCTCCACAGCTGGTTGTCAGGCAAGATTTTAAAGAAGGTAATAAACATGATTGATCCTTGCATAGATTTCATAAAGGTGACTACCAATGACATACAAGGTAAAAAATTCGCGTAGCTATGCAATCATGGAGTTATTATCGGGTGTTTGCTAATTCTGTCACCGTCGAGGACCAGGGAATAAATATCTGCATCTCAATGATAAAGAGAGGAGCGCGGCTAATTTCCCAACCAGCACTAGCTATCGAGCCACAACTCCTTTCTCAGCCTCAATGGACCCTGGGAACGAGGTTATAGGGTCCATTGCTTCTTTCACGCGCGTAACATTCTGTATACCGGCAGCTATTTTGAGAAATTTTGTCAGGAAAAGAGTGTAAAAGTGAACGCAACAACCCCGAAAAGTAATGGGGATAGTTTTTGGATCACGTAGAAATCTGAGAAAACGTCGCCGTAGCCGGGGACGAATCATCCGCTGCAACTAATTTATTTATTTGTCTAAGTAAAATTAATCGATTACCAAATACCCAGATTAACTTTCAAAATTTTCGCGAGTGCACTTGTGTCCTTTTATTCGCCAACCTTTCCCAAAACAGCTGTATAGTACACACACCAGAATCAGAACCGACATGGTCACTCCTGTCGTCTTGCTGGGCGAGTGATAGAATGATAGGGCCTTTAGCTAAAGAGTACACTCTATCGTGCTCGTCATTAGCCACTGTACGCTTTTTTCGGTCGCTCGATGAACACTGCTTTACGCACCGGGAGCCTGAGTCAGTTGTATTGCATACAATCACATGACAGTGAACGAACACAGACGAATGATCAGCGATGAACTTAAAAGCTTCCAAGCTAAACCTCTGTAAGTTGACTACCGGCGCAGCATGGTATTTGACGGTACCGTCGTTCGGGCACCTGAAGAACAGGAGAGGAAGATCAAGACTCAAAGACCAAGCTTTAGAAAAAATGCATTGATTTTGGATCTGTGGCTACAATGTTATCTGCAGAACACGTTATATTTAGCTAGTGCTGACAAGCGTTTCTTTACTGAAATGCGATATCTGTTACGGAATGCACTGCTTCACAAATTCAAAAAAATATTCCATGATTCAATTATAACTTCAAGTTGGAAGCGGCTAAAACATTTTAGGATTGATATTTTAAGCTAAATTTGTTTTACAATATTTCGTTTTCCTGCCTTGAAGGCTCCCAAGGAATCATTGTTATCGTAGTTACTGACTAATTTTTCCTTGTCTGCCCTTTAATTGTTCTTGAGAAAGCTGTTTTCCTTCCAGTGAAAAACACCTGTTACCCGAGGCGAAAAAGTATCTATTAGTGGCTTGGCTTCACCTAATCAGAAAACTGGAAGGAAATTGTGGGAAAGACAAACAAAACCCTGCGAAGATTATTAAGATTAGTTTGCCTGGGCATGGAATGGTAGTTCTTCGCTGAAGATTGAAATGTTTCGTTAGGAATCGGAAAGGAGGACTTTTTGAGGAGGATGGAAAACACTTCTCTACAGATTGTAACTTTGAATTATTTCTAGATAATAGATACTGAGCCATTTGTGGAAAAACATGGGAATCCAAGCGTAGCCCAGGTATCCTCCGTTATGATCCTCTCTAGCTCCTTTCTTAGCAAAATATCTTTTGACAGCACAAAATTATACATACCCTTCTCTGATAAACTCGTACTTAACGGGATCTGTTCGATCCTGAGTTGGTGTAACAAAACAATGGTCTGCCGATATTGACAGCTGCCTGTCATTTGACGACACTGACACTTCAAAAAACAGACGTTTGCGCAACACTACAGTGACGGGGAAGTCATCCTTCATGTAAGGACTCACGAATCTGTTGTCAGGGAACATATCCAGAGAGAGTGTGAAGTTTCCTTTGCCTTCATCACTGAACGTAAGTCTTCTGTTGCTTGGCCTCCAACTAACAGATGATACGACGCCATACTTGGATAAGTAACAGCTAAATGATATTTCTAATTTCCGCACCCGTGTAATAAGATCTTCAGCAGCCACAGGGATTTCCAAGACCGTGTTGGAGTAGACGATAGCTGTAGGTGTAGGCCTGCGTGTTGTGTTGCAGCCGGTCAGCGGAGTTGTTAGGGAAAAATGACCCGTCGTTTCCTCAGCCTTGCATCTAGTATCCAGGAGACGCAGATGTTCGCGGTCGAAACCGCGGAGGAGGGACTTGGGAATGATAATGGTCATATTTTTGCTGTTACAGTGGACATCAACTCCCGAGGTATCAACTGTCCAAAAAAGTAGGATTGTTCACTCTGCTAATTTTTACTCGTAAAATTTGAAATAGTACAATTTAGACAAGTAATTCACAATAAGAAGTTGGGTAAAAATGACACATACTAACCTTGGCATGTTTTATTATCCGACGATAAACTCAGCTGTGGGCCTGGACACTCACATTTGTACCCTCCCACAGTATTGACGCACATGTGACTGCAACCACCACTGGACACAGCACATTCGTCAATATCTAAAAACGTTCAAACCCGTTATTTCGGAATACTTAGATACTTTAGGACTCTGGAGTCGCAACTCAGAGTTAAGGTCAGGGCCCGCGCCACAAATTAAAAAATAGGGGTAAGATGAATTATGATGCATCAAATATTTTTGCTTGCACGCGATTGGTTTAAACACATCACGTGATCGAATACTCTCCCGCTCAAACTGGATGAGACTCGTGAATATGACCCAAGTGATATCACCCTATCTTCAAACCTTACGTGTCCTTCGATAGGTCTTAATTTAAAAGTTATGTGAAGATGAGAGAGAGCGTTTGTGGTTGTTACAGAAGTGAGGAAATGTTTTTTTGTTCATTAAGTCATACCAGAGAAAACTCAGAAGAAAACATGTCACGCTGCACATGGTAAACTGTTCCGAAACATTTCTTCACGCGCATTAAAAAATATCTGAAGGGTAATAAACACAATAGACTTTATTTTTCCCGAGAATATACTTGTATATTAGTCCTTGGACACCATCTGTTCCTCGAAGCTCACTTATTTCTTCGAGCTTCGCTTTCGGAAAGCTGTTCGCACCTGAATACAAATAATGTCAGCGGACAAATATCTGTGCATATTTCCGCGCAAAATAAAGGATATAGTTTATATTTTGATCAATTTGAATCAGCTAATTCAAATATATCGAGATTTCAGTTCTGTCACTTTTTTTTTAGGAATATCAATTGCGATGAAAAGGAGAGATAGACTGTCGTATCAGATACAAGCTTGCTCAATCACAGTAGCATTACGGTGGAGCAAAGTGATTTTTTAGATTTCAAGTGACAGAAACATTTTTTTTCAGAAGAATGATTCGTCAGGCAACCTTTTGATTGCGACTGCCGTGTTGTAAATATGATGGTTAGTTAGATGTGCTATGATCTTTACTGATGGAAATTGATGTAGCGATCTTAATTTTTTTTTTTCCGTTACGAGTCATGAGTATCTCAGCAATTAATTGCTCATGTGCTCACAGTTGAGACCGCGGAGAAGAGACTGATAAGGACTTTCTGCAGCGTACACAAACTCCCAAACTATAAACAGTGAAATCCCGTACGTATCAAATCAACTTGATTGAATATTTCAAGATCGTAAGATTGTTTACTTTGCTATTTCTTCTTGTAAAAGTTGAAATGGTGCGATTTATAGAAATAGTTTACTGCAAGAAGTTCGGGACAAATGAAACAAACTAACCATGACATGTTTTGTTATCCGATGATAAGCGTAATCCTGGATCTGGACATTCACATTTGTAGCTTCCAACAACATTGACGCACTTGTGACTGCAGCCATCATTTGACAGAGCACACTCGTCAGTATCTGAAAAAAGTTTATTTCAGGATGAATACGGATACTTTGAGGGACGAGAAGGGGGTCTGGTTTCAGAAACAGAGTTGTGTTCAGGATCCGCGCAGCAGGTTTACGAGTGGCGTGGCTTTGAAGCGAATCGAACTTGTAACTTGTGGTGTCGGGTAACATGTTCTCCCAGAAATAGTCCACTTAAATATTATTCAGTTCAATTCAGATAATTGAAATATATCGAACTGATTTCTCTCTTTATTTATCGACTAAAGGAAAAGGGGTTCTTCCCATTATACGGTCAGGTTGTCAAATCACACTTCTGTCACGGTGCAGCAAAGTCATGTTTAAATCTCGGGCAGTACGTAAAAAGACTTCTGTTGCAGTTTAATTAAATAATGAACAAAATTAAAATCACCTGACTAAGGTATTTGACACCCTCAGGAAACAGCTATGGCGAGTCTCGACTTAACCCAATGGTTAGGGTTGGGGTTGCAGAAATCTATTGACTTTTTTCCAGTATTTTGATACTAGGGTTACAGTTTAGGGTTAGGGTTTGCGCAACCACAAGTCAAGTGACAAGCAGTCTCATTGCCCTCTTGCACCCTGTGGCAAGTAGCCAGATTGCACTGGTCTTGTTGAGCTCAAAACCTTTTGCAGGAACCTGATAATTTAAAAACTGTTAGTGGCACTTTATTTTCTACCCCGAAAGTCAGCCCTGCCAGGCTTTTGACAACTACCCTTCCCCTTTAAATCCCTATTCTTTAGTAAGATTTGCACAAAAATTTCTAGTTTTACTAATATCATAACTAGTTAAGAGGTTGCATAGTTAGAGGCATGAAAATAGCAATATAGTGACAAAAAGAAGACTTTATTAATTAATTCCTAACCCTTTTCTAGCAAGCCACGCATATACCGATATGTAGTAACTTCTACTATTACTGTTGTTATTTGTTTCTTGTTAAAATTAAGAGACAACATTACGTAAGTGTGTACATCGCAAGGCTGTTTGATCTGACACCTATTGCAGCCTAAAACATCCACAATGATTCCCGATTTCCATTGCAGTCAACCGTTCATATAACAACAAATCCCGAAAATCCAGCATTCTGCTCCAAGAGCAACACTGAAAAAGTGTGAAGGTGTAGTCTGATCGTCCGGGTGAGTGTAGTCCTGAGAAGGACTGTTGTCGGTGGCAGTGACTGACGTTTCGACAACCTGTGCGGAAGTCATCATCAGAGTCAAGTGTCGATCTTTTAAGATCAAAACTTGCTCAAGAAATCAAAAGTTTGCATTCAAAACACACTTCAAAGCCAGATCTTGCTGTTTGGCTGGAAAACGCCTTCTCAATTTATCCGCCAGCCCTTGTTCTTTCTTTTTGACGAAAGCTAGTGTCGCAAACACAACCTTTTCATAGTTAATGACCAAAAAGAGTTCTGGGAAATTCCACCACAACTCGAGAAGGCAACACCTCACATTTCCATTTTAACAAATTATTAGAATCGTCTCGGGTCACCAAGTCCTTTCAGCAAAATATCACATCGATCGAGACTTTTGCCACTCAAAACTGGCCCAAAAAGCCTTGGTAGGTCCTGGTAGCCATCCACAGATGGGCCAGAGACACGACTTCACTTGTGAACTCGCCAAGCTTGCATGAAAGCATTTCGGCGGTCCAGTCTGCATGAAACCCCCTCTCACCTCTGCATTCTTTCAGAGGCTTGCCTCTACCCACATTCAAGCTTAATGATGCTGTCCTGAGGGCTTCTGTAGAGGGAAAATGGCTCGAAAAACACTTTTAAACGCGAGAAAACGAATTGATTTGAACGCATCCAAAAACGAGCGGCTGATCTAGGTCACGTGACCCTATAGTCTGAACGCAAGGTGTCTCAAAACCACAAATATTGCAAGGGATACTTTATATAGCGACAAACAAAGCGAGCGCAAGTTTTGTATGGCCAAATTATAAGGTTTTTCGCCAGCTGGAAAAAGGTTAAGGAGATTTTTGCTTATAGCAGAGGTAAAAAGAGTGTGTCGAAGCTCCCCTCTCCAAGCTCCACTCTGTCAGCGTTACATGGTGTTTGAAATAATACAACTAGCGACTTACCTTTGCATGACACAGATGCGGCTTTACTGGTCCACTGACCGTCTGATCCGCATTGTTTGTCGGAAGGACCTTGCAGCTGGTATCCCTGTGGACATGAGAACGAGCATTTTATGTTCTTCCTCACCTGTGACGTCACACAATCGTTGGGTTCGGTTTTGACAAGTCGACCAACAGTAAGGGCTGAGCACATCATAACTGATATCAGGGGGGAAAAAAGCAAAACATAAAAATGAGTTTCCGAGGATCAAACCAAACCAAAAACGATCGAATAGAATTTATGTAGAGATGAATCTTGCCTCTAGTAACCTTGCAAACGAAGAAATCGGCCCAATGAACTAAAAGTCAGGAATTCTTCAAATGAACAACACAGTGTTGTAACGAATAATGAAAGCCATGTTATAATAATAAATTTAAAGTTCAAATGTCATTCTACCCAGGAACCCAGAAGTATTGTGAAGCGAAAATTAAAGGTTTGTTAAATGTAGACCACCGTCAAGAGTTCATTCGTTTACAATGAATAGTAACGGTATTAAAATAACCGATTAGATAGGAAATCGAACGGTGTAAAATATTTCATATATTTTTACAGCTACATAACGCCTTCTTTGGCTTACCACGCATTTCACAAAGATACAAATAAGATTGTGCACATGATACGTCATTCCATTCTCTTCGTTGGTCTACAGTGAAAATCTGTCCACAATCTTCCTGTCCACCTGAATTGTTCGGTTCTACACCATGCCATTGGGTGTAACTAGCTTGAGATCCGTCAACCCAAAGCCAGCGAGACTTGACCCTGGGATTCCTGTACAAACCAATCCATATCACTTTGTTTGGCATACTTATTGAGGCAATGGCTTGTTGCTCAGCCGCTGAATTTATCGAGGCAAGTTTGGATCCAAGCACCTCGCAGGCGGATTTTGCTGCATTCCAGTTCAGACTGTTATTTGAGATCTTGTAGCAAGAATCTCGTTTATGAATCCAACTGCTCGGACAAACTACAAAGCAAGAACTGATTTAGCAAACCCGCCAAAAGCATACAGTATGATTCATACTCATAGCAGATTTTGTAACGCGCGAGTTTAAACGTGAAATAGGAAGATATACATGTAGGTAAAAGATAAAGCCTTTTTACGAGCCAAATGGCACATCGGGCCAGCGGTTAAATTCGGTTTCCGAAGCATGAAGCGACTAAGAGTATTTCTACTACTCCCTCTTGGATGAAATGCATCGCAGGGTTAACTTCAGCATTAAATTCGCCGGCACCCATTTAAACTCCTGAATGAAGAGAGGCACTGTGATTGTTTTGCTCAACAACACAACACAATGTCCCCGGCCAGGGCTCGAACTCAGACCACTCGATCCGGAGTCAGGCGCACTAACCATGAGGCCACCTTATGCGCATTCATTGATTATTTTTGTTTCTTTAGTTTCACTTTTTTCGAAGTCCGCCTTAGAATTAAAGAGAAATCATACATGGAAAAAATAGCTATCATATTTTAGTGACCATGGCTAAAATAAAAAAGAACAAAGACAGTAATTATAATCGGATGACAACAACAACTATGGTAATGATTATATAATTTAATCCCGGAAAAATTGCAGCGGAGCTAACGTTTAAATCTACAAAGGAGTTTAAAACTTCTTCCTAGGTTACAAATTTCTAATTTTAATCATATGAATAAAATTTGAAAGGGTCCGATGAAATTGAAACAATTATTAACAAATTTAAACAAACACCTGGATATACCAAACGTTCATATTCGTGTTTTTCTCGTTGCCATGTTCCCATCAATCACGTAGCTCCTTTTTCTGCCTTTAAAAGCACACACAACCCACAATTCCTCTATTCGCTCCGACGAAGGGCTAACGCTCGAAACTTCAGCTTTTATAATCGTGACGGCGGCTAATTTACCATTTCAACTTTGTTGATATATTCAAATTAGTTCTTAAAGACAGCCTAAGATTGCAGTTCAACAAGAAACTGAATTGTGCCAATGAATTCTTTTAAGGCCAAGGTGAAAGTCATATTAGTTTTCTTCTAGAATTTCGGGCAAAAGCCTTTTAAAGCAAAAAAAATTAGTTTAAGCTTCAAGTTTCAATAAAATGATCATGTTGGTATGTGTAGACTAACTGCGACAATTTCCTGCAGCTCAAGCCAATTGACACACATGCGCAGCAGTCTAAGCCATGAAAGATCTTTGCTGTACGCTAGGATGTTTGTTAAATGCCATAAAGTGTCTCACCCCACGAGATAATGTATGGCGCGCCTTTCCAGTCAATATTCAAACAACCTTAATATACAATACATCCATTACATTTCTTCGCCCTATTTTTTATTTCCTTTCTGTGTATTTTTTATTTTTCTTCTTTATTTTTCATTTTCCTTCTATATATTTTTAACTCTATTCGTATCAATTTACATGTGCATGTTTAGCTCATCTATTTTCTATTTTTCTCTTCATTTTATATGCGTTCTAAATTTTTTATATTTATTCCACATGTTTTTTTTCGTTCCGAGTGGGATTTTTTATTTTCTCTCTAATGAGTATGCAAACGTCATCACATGACCGTGATGCACTTTTCCGGCAATTTCAAAAACAAAATGGCGGATGAAACTTTAAGAGATGGCAACGAGAGAGGCCTTTACAACTTCGTAGAGTCTCTTCGTACCCTGTTGATTGGTATTTAGAATTTAAACACACAAGATGTCTCCGTTTATTACTTTGAACAAGCTGACGTGCTTCTGGAAGATGCAATTTTAACGTTACAGTTGCTCTTGCATAGTGTATGGCAAAGTGAGGACTCTGTCCTTCAAGATTTCAAAACAATAATAGAAGCTGTTTTGACAAAAGTACGCTTTGTTTTTCGTGCAATGACAAAGTACGAGGAAAGAAATTCCGTTGAAGCAAAGATATCAAATTCATTCGCTTGTCCTACCACTAAACTAACAAGTGCAGGAAGACCAGTAATCGTCATCGAAAGAGAACAGATCGAATTCTTACGCGAACTGCATTTCTCCTCGGTAAAAATCGGTAGTTTGTTAGGTATCAGTGAGAGAACTTTACGTCGAAGAATAGGGGAATTAAATTTGGATGATGACAGCGGAAACTGGACTGCATTGTCAGGTACGCAGTAATTTACAGACTGAGGTTATCTATACTAGTAGCTTATTTGATTTAATCTTATAATCAATGTGTTTGGATAAGGATGATATAATCTCGGGTAAAATAAATCTTAGAAGCCATACCCTTGGTCAAAATAGATTAGGTTCCCCCAAGTCCCATCTCACACAATGATGTACGATACTTCAAACTTTGTAATTAAAAGTTAACTAGAACTTCTTTTCAGATTCTCAGCTTGAAGACGCTGTCAAAGAAATTAGAACCATTACTCCAAACCATAGTTAACTAAAACATCGGACAACGAAGATTGCTTGGAGCTCTCTGAGCAAAGGGATTTCGAATCCAGCGATGGAGGGTTCGTTACTGTCTTCGTAGACAAGACCCGCTTCGGACAGCACTTCGCTGGAGTACTCCAGTTTACCGTCAGATGTACTCTGTACCAACGCCAAACGCTTTGTGGCACATAGACGGAAACCACAAGCTCACCAGGTACAGGTTTGTTGTGCACTGCTGTGTTGATGGGTATTCAAGGGTTATTGTATATGCCACCCTAACTGATAACAACCGAGCAGATACAGTGTTGGAGCTCTTCATCAAGGGAGTACAAGAGTTTGGCTTACCTTCAAGAGTAAGAAGCGATCATGGACTGGAAAATGTTGGAGTGGCAAAGTACATGTTGGAAAATAGAGGACTAAACAGAGGAAGTATCATAACGGGAAGCTCTGTCCACAACTGCCGTGTTGAGCGCGCTCACAAGGATGTTTACGCTGGTGTCCTTTGTCACTTTTCCTATATGTTTAGTGGAATGGAAGTCATGGGTCTTCTTGACCGGTTAAATGAAGTACATTTATTTACATTGGACTTTGTCTACATACCAAGGATAAATAGGGCATTACAACACTTCATTAGTCAATGGAACAATCACACTGTCTCCAGTGAAGATCAGTTATCTCCCCTACAAATTTTTGCCTCTGGGATTTTGGAAAACATGCACTCTGGATACTCTGGAGTTGAGAGTATTCTACATCCAAATGAAATTCCATTGTATGGGTTTGATCCAGATGGACCTATCCCGTTAGACGACGACGATTACCAGGTCTCAATACCAGCTGTTGATGTTCGGCTTACGCCACAACAGCAGCATATCTTGGAAGTCTCCTGTCACCCTTTGAATGACGATGGTGAACATGGTAGAACTCAATATTTGAGATGCATGGATATCCTTAAGAATCAGTTCAACATATAAGAAACTTTGCTGAGATAAGGCTGTTTTGGTGGTAACAATCTTTAAAACAGGTGTTCCCAGCATTCAACTAACCTAAAATCCGTTGTAAGAGAGTAAAAATAGGGCCTAGAATTAAGATCAATTAACGTCTATCAAACAGGTACCACTATGACAGATTGAAAACGCAAACAGTGTGAAGTTTATTATTTGCCTTTAAATTGTATCAATCAGAAAAGTACAACAAAATTAATGCAACTTAACCTTTACAACAGTAAGGAAAAAAATACATAAGAATCTCAACAAAATAGTTCTAAACAGCTGCGCTCACTTGAAAATGTCAACTTGAACAGATAACAAGCTTTATAATACAATCAGCCATTAGCTAATGATTTCCCAGTATGATTTACCAGAAAATAATTTGTGCACAGTTGTTAAATGTTTTAAAACCGTAAATACCCATCCAAGGCAGAAAATACAATTTCACTACAAAAATGATATTATCAGTATGTTTTAAATCAGCTTGCATTTGCCATCACAATGGTCTTCTTTAAGTCATAAAGCATATTACACAATATTACACAATATTATTTCCCAATAATCTGATGCAAGTATTGCACTGAACTCCTCTCTAAGTTCAGGAAATGACTGATAAGTCGAGGATAGCTCCAATACAGTATTACAAGTGTGGGCAATTGGTCGGCGACCCAAACCAGATAAGTTGGTAAAATTTACTTAGATTGCATCAAAAAGCATTAACTCAGACCCACTGATGAACCTTACAAACTTTGATAATTTCTGAGGCCTGTCAAGGCCCTTAATATACAGTTTGAGAAACTTAAGGCTATCCCTTTCCCCATCACTCTCAGGGTTTGCCTCTAGGCAACTAAGGATTTTGCTTGTGGATGGTATTAACAATTCATACCTTTTGGAAATTACTGCAAAATCAGCAAAACTAGGAAGAAGTGTAGAAACTGTATCCTTCCAGCAGTCTGTAATATACTGTGGCTTCTGCAGCAGCTCCTTATGGGCTATTTCTTCAAAAAATAGACTAACATTCTGGGAATTTACCATAATTCGACAGGCATAGTTACTAAAAACTTCCAAAAGCTGGGACATTTCATCTTCATCATCCCACTTCATGTCACCAGCGAAGAGGCACTTGTCAATCCAACATTTTTCATCTAATGAAATGTAATTTCTAAAGGATTGAGTCCGCATAGCACTAGTTACTGCAGACTCCCCCCAAAAAAGACAGGCAAAGAACGTTTGAGACAGAAGGACTGGCAGGTATTGACAGGTTAAATATCCTTTCACCAAAATTCTGCCAACAGCAACCCATTCATCCCTTTGATAGTCATATCTTACAAATGGTACGCACTCATTTTCTGCAACAAAAAGGGAATCATAGGTTTCTTTCCAAAAAAGAGAGAAAACATCTCTTAGCAACCCAACACCTCTGCCCACTTCTTCAACTCYACTAGGATCAATAACAATTATCTCTATGTCCTAACTCATAGTTAATGGATCTCGGAATAAGTTAATCAAATCCTTCTTAATATTTAGCCTGTTTACTTGGATGATGCGTTTTTGTGGCAGTTGAGATACAGGTACTGATACAGACACAGGTACATGCTCAGATACATAAACAATATCAGAGTCACTGCCCGTCTCTATATCATTTAACTCTGTATTTTGATGTGATGTTTCTGCTTCAGTTGGAAATGGTACACAATAAGGTTGTGCAACATCCTGGCAGGGGTGGGGTACCACAGCTGCATCTGGCCTCGCATCACTCTCCCCAAATGAAAGCAACACAGAGCTTCTTTGTGCTCCGCTAACACTAAAAGGAAATAATAACCTGTCACAAACCATAAAAAACAAAGTGAACTAAGTGGCAATGATTTAACAGACTATGACGGGTTCATCTTTGTACAAATATCTAAAATCACTTGGAGTTGCAAAATACCACATCAATTCGTGTCCCATCCTGCTAAACGATTGAATAAAGATCTGAGCCAACATGTAAATAAATAAACAAACATTAAAATAAAAAAAATAC